AGCCACTACAAAAGGCCGACTGAAGACGATAAAGATCCCTCCTGGTTGACCTACATATTAAAAATGTGGGGGAAAGAGTGCTGTGTTTACTATAAAAGCCTAGTAGGATTCGGCCCAAAGGCAGCATTCTCACTCCTGTGAATGTCGTTTGAAAGTCACAGAGGACACCGGACAGAGCTTTACTGGAGAGAATTTGAGCCATTAAATTTCTCCCACTCCCTAAACCAGTGTAACAATGAAAAGACTTTTTGCCTCCAGATCCCTGTCTGCGGCAGGGGAGCGAGGGAATTGTCTGCCTTGTGGAGAACTGCTGTCCCAGGGACAGGTTGTCGGCTTGGGAGTGACCACTCCCCGGCTTGCTCCCTGGTCTGAGGGAGAGCTTATTAGGGCTTGGGAGGTCATGGCCATGCAGAGGGGGAAGAGGAACTGAGGCACGGCAGGGGCTGGGGAACTTCAAGTGCAGTAACTTCATGAGTGGCAGCTGCTTTTGCTGCTTGCTTCCCAGAGTGTGCTCGCGTGTGTTTGTGCATCCTGAGGGAGGGGTACTCCCAGAACTCTCCCTTCTCCCCAATCTCCTGGGTGACCTGCTTCCTTGCACTTGAAGCATCTCTTACCCCAGCCACTGGCCTCCTCTGTCCCTGGCATTCCTGTCAGATGTTGTGGAGAGAACAGAGTCTCCCCTCCTCCTCTTTGTTCTCTACCCATCTCTCCTCACCTTTCCTCTGCTCTCTCCTTGCTCTCCGCACAGAATCTGCCGCACCTCTATACCTGCGGCTTCTCACACTTGAATACACCGGAAGAGCCTGCGGGCTCACAAACCCACAGGTCCCTGGGTGTCCCTCTTCCCCCTGTTTCTGACCCAGTATGGGTCTAACAAGTTCCCAGGCAGCTTTGCTACTTATCCTCTGAGTCCTCTCTGAGAGTTACAGGTGGGCAGGATCAAGAACCAGCCCTGAGACCCCACAGTCTTGGCACTGACCTCGCGAACTGCGTCCACCATGCCCAGCCACTGGCTCTTCCCTGATCAGTACACAGAGAACTCGGCCTGTTTCGTGCCCTGGGTGCCTGGTCCCTTTCGATTTTCACCTGTTGACCACCTGCTCATTTGTTTCTTGGAGCCCAACTCAGGGATCGCAGCTGTTTTGCAAGGTTATCTCTTTCATCACAGTCAGAATTAATGGCTCCTCTTTCAAAAGATTAATTGGGTTTTATTTAATCACCCATTTATTAATGTGATTAGCAATGATTGGGTCATAGTTCTTTGCCCAGACGCACAAAAAGAGAAGACCTTTGCAAAATGGCCCTTGGTGTGAGGTAGCTATGAGCTGTGGTTGTGTTTAAGGAGAGTCGTTTGCTGATGGAATAAGTGTGTCTGCCTGAGCAACACACGCATGAAATCCATTCGGAGGATGGGTAGGTTGGCCGGGAGCAGGTGCCGTTCTCTGCCGCTGCCTCCACCTTTTCACTCTCCCTCCTCCATGTAGCCCCGCTCCTCTTAGCTCCGCGGCCTTTCCTCCACTGACAGACTTTGATCCCAAGCCTGGGGTGGAAACTGTCCAGCTGCCGCATGAAAGGGCATTCCTGTGAATGATGGGAGCTGATGGGAAGGTGGGTGCCGCTGTGTGAGTGTGCTGCACAGCCAGCCACCGCCATCCTGGCCAGCCACCGCCATCCACCCAGCCTCTCTGACTCTGCTCCTGCCTCCTGCGGCATTCTCTGTTCTCTCTCTTCTCCTGGTGATTGACTGGGGGGTTAACTAAGCCTCACTTCTGAGAGTCTTTACATTTGCCTAGGCATTCATTGCTTCTCCAAGTCTGTTTGCTGAGCAGCCAAGCCCAGCATTTGTTTCTCTGGTCGAAGGCAAGTCTGTTAAAGGTCTTCTTCAAATGGAGATTCTGACTTAGTGGGCCCCAGAGTCTGTTTCTAAGAAACTCACCACCCCCAATTGATCTCATGCTGCTGGTCCATAGCATTTAGAATGTTTTGTTTATTATTATTTTATGTAGATAGTTGTTTTGCCTGCATGTATGTCTGTGTGCCATGCGTGTGCCTGGTGCCAGAAGAGGGTATTTGAGTCCCTGGACCTGGAGTTATAGATAGTTGTTAGCCTCCTTGTGGGTTCTGGGAATTGAACGCTGGCCTCCTGGAAGAGCAGTCAGTGCTCTTCTCTCCAGACTTAGGATTTATTTTTTTGTGTGTGGGGGTGGGGGCGTGGAGTGAGGGAAGGAAGTAGGTATGTGGCATAGCACACACCCTTGGAGATTAGAGGGCAACTGATGGGAGCCAGTTCTCTCCGTCCTTGGGTTTGAACTCAGGTTGCCAGACTTGGCAGCAGGTGCCCTTATCCTCTGAGCCAACTTGACGGCCATATCTACAGCACTTTTAAAAGTCCAGTTGCCAATTATATCAGTGTCCCATTTAATTATGAGCTTTGATCTTGGGACCAGAAATAGAAACCAAAAGGGAGTGAGAAGAGCTAAAACTTACGTAGTGTTCGGAGTACACCCAGCCTGGTACTGGACTCTGTAGCTACTGCATTTAATCTGCCGGGTACTCTAGGAGAATTAGATGCACACTTCCGGTGCTCTTGCTGGCAGATGAAAACACCCGCTCTTAAAAGTCCAGGCTGTCCTAACAGGGGGAGTGGGGGTGGGGGGGTTTGAGGGGTTGAGGCTAGCAGCCGCACCTTGCCCCAGGCAGTGCTGAGACAGGCCTGTGAATGCTTCCTAATTAGCTGTGGAGCCTCCTGACTCCTCGGGGCCTCAGGACGTGTCCTCCCTACCCCTGAGACTTGGGAGGAAAGGCAGAGCTGAGAGTAAGAGCTGACCCCCTGCCCATCTGTCAGACATGCACCAGATTTCAAAAGCACCCCTCTTTTAAGCTCCCCAACACTTCATAATATTTTGACACGGGATGGCAAAAAAAGAAAAATTGGAAATGCTTTGAAATATTTCTCTTCCTTGGCTTCTTGGTTTTATGACCATGTGACTGACTTGAAGTTGAGTCATAGGATTCCAGTTTAACATATGCGGTTACTATAGCAATTGAGGTTTCCTTAGTAACAGTTGCAAAAATAATCTGGCCCCAATTAATAATACATTTTAAAGCTCTTTCTACTCCACACAGAACAATCCAGATCATCTGGCCGTACACCAGATAATTCAGGTGGTGTCGTCTGCACTGATTGAGATACCATTTGCATGTGGTGAATTGGGTCGGAAGGGATGAAAGGGAACAGGTTGTTTCAGGCCTCGCCCGAGTCCGCTTGGAAAAGTTGTCCAGCAGGCTAATGCCAGCCCAGTCTCCGGGATTCCCAGGGTGTCCTGAAGGACTTTGTGTTTGATGAAAGGAGAAAGTGGAAGACTGGAGAAAATATAGGGCACTAGAGTGTGGGGCCGTAGCCCATCTTGGTGTTGCTCCATGGCTCGAGGTGTGTGAATTCATAGGTCCTTCATGAGGAGAAAGTCCGCCTTGGCAACACAAGACAGATCTTCAGAGGTGCTTCTGTAGGAATGGTGTTGGGTGCAGACCTGCTGCCTTCTCGCCACAGCCTCAAATTCGTCCTGAACCCATCTGTGTGTTACACAGAGGAGCAGTCTATGGCTGTCAAAGCTCTCCTTCCTTGTACATGAGACTCAGGAGTCCCAGGGTCACAACCAGGGGCCCACCCACACCTGGACAGTTTCTGTGCCTTCCAGCTGCAGGACTCCGGCCTTAAGGAAACGGGCTGCGCAGCCTGGCCTGGAGATGGGCCTGGCTTGTCGGCAGGGGCCCTGGCTGTCCCCTCGCTGTGGGACCTGTACCATACCCCGTTTCCCTCAACTGGCAGAGTGGTCCAGAACCAGGGGTGAAGACAGGAGTGGGGTGACTCCTGCTTCCATGATCAGCCTACTAAGAGAATTGCTTTCTCCTTTCTTGTTTTTGTTGTATTTTGTTCGGTTTTAATAGGAAGGTTTTTTAGGTTGGTAGGGAAAAGCAGAAGCAAGTGTAATGATGCCCAGGGGAAGTCTCCAGTTATCGTCCTAAGATACATTTGACTAGAGTTTGGCTTCTTGGCCCTTAAAGGTGAACTTTGTCTCCATTATTGAGCATGGATATCTGAAGTTGGCCACCCCTATTGCTTCTGGACTGTGATGGTGAGGGTAGCGAGGCTGGTGCCCACTCTGCTCTGTCCATTGCTCTTCTCATCAAGCCTCCCATAACTGTTGGTTGTCACATCTCCAGCATCCCAGCAAATATCGAGGGAGGGCTCTCTGCTTTCCTAAGCCTACACTGCTAGGCTCTGGGGTGCAGAGATGAGGAATTCCACCAGCAGTTAGCACTGTGAGTCTGAGACTGTCCCAGTCTCAGGGGTCCTCAGCTTTTTACAGCCTAGTGGGACAGTGGGTGATGGAGAATACCAGCTGTCTGGATGGAAAAGCTTGATCTCTGTTCCTCGGAACTCGGGGAGAGGCGAGATGGGGGTGCAGGGACAGCCTGGGTATCAGAAGGCAGCAAAGGAGGAAACACCGTGCCTGTTGGGATGGGAGGCAGAAAAGTCAAGAGATTGAATGGAAAGAAGAGTCTGGCAGGGAGGTGGCAGAAAAGACAACAACAGGGAGTGGCCAGAGCTCAGGGTAAAGGGTGGGTTGTGGGAGCTGGGGGATGAGTCCTAGGTGATGGGTCAAGACAGTTAGGCAAGGGCCAAGTTCTGAGGGGGCTTCGTGCTGGCCAAGTGACTTTCTTCTATGAATTCTCCCGCAGTTGGGAGCCAATAAACTTTTAAAGCAAGGTCAAGTTATTGTCGGATTGGCATCTTGGCTGGGGGCAAGCAGTGGTGCAGAGACAATGGACAGGGCACAGGAGGTGACAGGAGATGGGTGACTGACACTGGATGAAGGATGTTACTTCATGGAGTATTTCCTGTTGGGCAGAACCAGCCTCCCAGCCTGGAAGTGAGCTTGGGACGGACCTCGTTTCCATGGCTGGGTCGGTTCTAAGTTGCCCTCTTCCCTTCACAGTGACAAAGCTGCAGGTGAGCAAGTCCAAGAGAACCCTCACCCTGGTGGAAAACCGGCCTATTCAGCTGAACTGCTCAGTCAAATCCCAGACCAGCCAGAACTCCCACTTCGCCGTGCTGTGGTACGTCCACAAGCCCTCGGACGCAGACGGCAAGCTTATCCTCAAGACCACGCACAGCTCGGCCTTCGAGTACGGAACCTATGCCGAGGAGGAGGGCCTGCGAGGCCGGCTGCAGTTCGAGCGGCATGCGTCAGGTGGCCTGTTCAGCCTCACTGTGCAGAGAGCCGAGGTCAGCGACAGCGGGAGTTACTACTGCCACGTGGAGGAATGGCTGCTGAGCCCCAACTATGCCTGGTACAAGCTGGCCGAGGAGGTTTCAGGCCGCACAGAGGTCACCGTGAAGCAGCCAGGTAAGAATGGAGTGTGTGGCCCTCATAGGCCTGTGGCTTTCCTACAGAGACTAGGGCCTAGGGAGCTCTGTGCCCCACCACGCATGCGCATAGGCATGCTTGTTGGCTGTGTCTCCCAGTAGCTGAAGCCTCCTAAATGAGTGCAGGGATTTGTTTCTTCATCAGACTCCCAGCAAAGCAGTGGGAGCAGGGGCAGAAGTCCAGCTGTGGCCTGATCCATGCTGGATGCAAGGACACCGTTCCCTTCCTTTCCCTGAGGATGCTGTGTTCTGGGACCCCTCTGGCCACACAGTGACAGTTGCTCTGGTACATAAAGCAGGAAGTCCGTCTGTGAGGTGCTTTCTGTGGCCGTCACGTCACCACGTCCTGTCTGCCTGCCGGACCACGTTATGAACCCAAGCTGCAAGCTGCACTCCTGCCTCAGCCTCCCGAGTAGCCGTGGTTACAGCTATGCTGCAGTGTGTCACTGGCAGCCTTCCGAGAGCTGATTGACAGCGGCTCTCAGGCCCGCCAGAGTTCTTGCTCTGCCTCTGCCGTCCATCCTATCTTGTCTCAGTTAGGATAACATTATTTTTGCCCCTCCGACCTCTACCTCCCAAGGTCTCTTTTCTAGTCACCAATCTTTTTCCCTTTCTTCCTTTCATTTGATGCCAAGAAGGTCTTCTTGGGTCCTAAACATTATTGGAGGGGTTTCCCCACCTAAAGCTGCTGCCGAGCTAAGTGACAATGCCAAGGGTCACAAGGGTCCCATCGGCAAGCACAGTGACGTCTCTCTATAGTGAACTCAGTACAGAAAGCTCACAGGGTGCTGACCATGACTGTTTTTGCTTTTTCAGTTGATTTTATGGTTTGTGTCCTCATCTCTTTCTTTCTCTGTTCTTGTCCCCTTCTCTTTTCTCCTGATAAGGAAGCATACATTACTGAGCCTTTGCAGAGACTCACGATGGAAAGCGTCAGTCTTGCAACTCAGATACCGTGCCAGCATTAACATCTCATACATATATTTTAGCCAAGCTGTTTAAAAATAGAACCATTTTGTTTTTTAGCCTTTTATTTGCAACAGCAATCTTCTATGTGGCACAAAACACTTAGACAACACTGAAGCATAGAGAGTGAGCGAGTCAGGTCTCCTCTTTATAAATCACTCTGGGGAGCTGGTCCCAAGGCTCTTTTGTTTAGCATCTTCTGGTACAGAGGGGTTCGTAAGGGTCTTTGTGAAGTTTCAGGGATGCTATCAGCAAGAGCCATGGTTCGTACACTTCTTCCACATAAGGAAGCTTTTTCTGCAGCTGTTTACAGCTCCCAGTCCCATCAGTACCATCTTTTCTGTGCTGATGTCATGTTGTTCTCTCTCCACCTTGAAAAAGAAGCCGTTTGGAGGCCCATTGTCTGTGCATATTAAACTGGGTGTTCCTTGCCAGTTCCTTTATGGTTCTGGCTCTCTGCATAGTCCATCTATCATGTGGTCAGACTTAGAAGATTTTTGCTAACACAGGCCTGGTGGTAAGGGCCTATAATCCTGGGTTCTTAGACAGCTGAGGCAGGAGGATCCCAAGTTCAAGGCCTGCTAGTCTATAGAAGCTCAAGGCCAGCATGGGCAACTTAGTGAAACAGTTTTCCATGGGTTGGTGATTGTCTACTGCTGTTCTACTGCTGAGAGGAGACACCATGACCAAGGCAACATATAAAAGAAAGCATTTGATTGGGGGGCTGGCTTACAGTTTCAGAGGGTGAGTCTATGTTCATCATGGTGAGGAACATGGCTGCGGGCATGGGGCTGGAGCAGTGGCTCCCAACTACTGCTGATCTGATCTGAGCCACAAACCCCAGGCATAGACAGAGAGAGAGAGAGAGAGAGAGAGAGAGAGAGAGAGAGAGAGAGAGAGAATGAGAATGGTGTAGACTTTTAAAGCCTCAGAGCCCACACCCAGTGACAGACCTGCTCCACCAAGAACACACCTGCTCCAGTAAGAACATACCTCCTAATCCTTCTCAAATAGTTCTACCAACTGGGAACCAAGCATTCAAATAAGTAAGACTATGGGGCCATTCTCATTCATAGCACCGCAGTGATATTTCAGTAGTACAGTATATGCATAGCATGTGCAGGACCCTGGGTTCAACTTCGCGTTTATCGCTGCTGGGAGGGGGCTGTCACTCTGCCCACGCCTGCCCCTTCTCTTGCTAACTGCCTCTTCTGTCAACCACGCACTTTGGAGTCTCTGCACTTTGGAGTCTCTGCACTTTGGAGTCTCTGCCGTTAGTCCTTTCTTGCTTATTTCTCCTCCTCCAAACATCGAAACCTCTTAGGGAAGGGTTCTGAACCAGATAGAGCTGTTGCTGAGCAGTGGATTCCCACACAGCCAAGGATCCAACACGCTTAGAGTGCCATGTTTGAAAAGCATGCATGGGATGCCCTCCTGTGCTCCAGGGACACCTGTTCAGCTGCCCTCTCGAGAGTGCTGTGCACTGCTTGCTGTCACGTCACCGTTACCGTGTCTCTTTCTCCCTGTTCAGACAGCCGCCTGAAGCTCAGCCAAGCCCAGGGGAACCTGTCCATCCTGGAGACCCGGCAGATCCAGCTGGAGTGCGTGGTCCTGAACCGTACCAGCATGACCTCCCAGCTCATGGTGGAATGGTTTGTGTGGAAGCCCAACCACCCAGAGCGAGAAGTAGTGGCCCATCTGAGCCGGGATGCCACCTTCCACTATGGTGAACAGGCTGCCAAAAATAACCTGAAGGGGCGACTGCACCTGGAGAGCCCTTCTTCTGGCGTGTATAGGCTCTTCATCCAGAATGTGGCGGTCCAGGACAGTGGGACCTACAGCTGCCGAGTGGAGGAGTGGCTGCCCAGCCCCAGTGGTGTGTGGTATAAACGGGCTGAGGATACAGCTGGGCAGACAGTCGTCACCGTCATGCGACCTGGTAAGGCCCCTACCCTTCCGTGTTTCCGTGTTAAGAATATTTTGGATGCTTGTATAGGCACTTATCTCGTCGCTGTGACCAAATGCCCAACAAGAGGCAACTTAAGGGAGGAAGGGTTGGTTTGACAGACGGACCCCTCATGGGGGAACATCGAGTATGAGGCAGCTGGTCACGTGACATCCAGTTAGGAAGCAGAGAGATGTGGGTGCCACTGCTTAGCCGGCTTGCTCCCTTCCCTCCTTTTCCTCACCAGGACCCCAGCTCGTAGGGTGGTGCTGCCCACATTCGGAGTGGGTGTGTCATCCCTTCTCGATGACGCTCTCTGGAAATGCCCTCCTAGACATGCTCAAAGGTGGTGTCTCCTACGTGATTCCAAATACAGTCGAGTAAAGGGTAGCTGTCACAGTCCTTAAGAAATGATCCGCAGGGCTGGAGAGATGGCTCAGCAGTTAGCAGCACTGGCTGCTCTTCCAGAGGACCCGGGTTCCATTCTCAGCAGCTCACAGCTGTCTGTAACTCCAGTTCCAGGGGACCCAACAGCCTTAAACAAGCAATGCACATAAAATAAAAATAAATAAATCCTTTTATTAAAAAAGGAAGAAATTGTTTGCATATGAACATTTGTATTGTACACTTGTATTCTAAATTCTCTCAACTTGTTTTTCCTGTGAACGGGAACTTGCACATCAGGCTTTCTCCTCAGGTGATTAGATTTCTTAATTAGAATCAAAGCCAGCAGTTAATTATTCTAGATCATAAGACTATGTTCCTTTTAAAGCATACATTCAGATCGGAACAGGTGGTTAGTATGACAGAGACCTTGAAACACTGGCCCTGCGTTCAGAAGTTGTGCCGGTGGATTTTCAGTAGAAAAGCCTGGCTTCTTTAAGCAGAAAGCAGCAAGGACCTCCAGCCGCCACTCTCGCTTCCAATCATCTCACTGGCACTAATGACTTTTCCATGTGGCCTTTTGTTCCTCTTGTCTCTATTGCCATTTCTAAAGTGTGTAAACGCATATAATTACTGGGTGTAATTATTGTTACATTTAACACATAATTAAGACTGAGATGTGCAGCGTTCCCGTGCCTCCCGTAGCACCACAACACCACTGAGCCTTATCAGCAAAGAGTCAACCATCCCTTGAGGACATGGCATGGAACTGAACTTGCGACCTGTCAGTGTAAACACCTAGCCTTATATCTTCCTGGCATCTTGATGTGCACTCCTACGGTCCTTGTAGCATTGCAGGCTCCTCTCCTTGTGTCACATCTGATTTGAGCTAGAGTTGGAGTAGTCAGCAGCTGTGCTGTGTGCCATGCTGTCTCAGGGGAGGGCAGTGGCTGACTTCATCTGCGCGTGTCCCTGCTGGAGGAGAAATCCCCTTCGAGTTTTCTTTTTCTGTGTACATAGTTGGCTGTTTTGCGGCGGCTGCTGCTGCTGCTGTTGCTGATGCTGCTGCTGCTGCAACCTTGCCTGGAGGCTGGTGCTTCTCTTTCCCTGGAAGTAAAGTGTAGGGAACAGGGAACGGCAGCTAGACACACTTCCCCAGCTCCTACCCATTTGGCAGATCACTGGGGAAGCCCCCATAGAGTGGGCGGAGACAAACGTTTATGGAGAACCAGCTAGGTCCCTGCCAGTTAGAATGATGTTCTAGTCTTCCTGGTAGATTTCTCTAACAAGGAAAATGAGCCTGAAGGAATTTTCTGCACAGCTGAGAGCAGACAGAGTGGATGCAGGTTTCTGTCCTGCTGCAGTCGTGATCCCAGTGTGGCCCCTAAGCCTGAGACCCTATACACAGTCTAGAGTCCCCTCCATCTTCCCTCCTTCCTGCCCTCCCTTTCCCTTGTTCATTTATGCATTTATTTAATTAATTTTCTCATGGGGGTGGTGAGACAAGGTCTCACTATGTAACCCTGGGGAATTCTTAGACCAGGCTGGCCTTGAACTTACAGAGATCTGCCTGCTGTTGCTTCCCAAGTGCTGGGATTAAAGATGTGTGCCACCATACCATAAAAGAAAAGTTTTTAGATTTAAAAATTTTATTCTATGTATATGAGTAGTGTGTGTGTGTGTGTGTGTGTGTGTGTGTGTGTGTGTGTGCACGCGCACGTGGAGTGCACATGTGTGCCTGGTACCTGCAGAGGGCAGCAGAAGGGTCTCCTGGAACTGGAATTAAAGATGGTTGTAGGCCTCTATGTAGCTGCTAGAAATTGGGCCCCAGTCCTCCACAAGAGCATCAAGTAGCCGGGTGGTGGTGGCGCACTCCTTTAATCCCAGCACTCGGGAGGCAGAGGCAGGTGGATCTCTGTGAGTTCGAGACCAGCCTGGTCTACAGAGCTAGTTCCAGGACAGGCTCCAAAGCCACAGAGAAACCCTGTCTCAAAAAAACCAAAAAAAAAAAAAAGCATCAAGTGTTCTTAACCACAGAGCTATCTCCCCAGCATCAGCACACCGTCCCCCCCCCCCCCCGCCCTTCTCCTGCAAACCCTTGGCATCTGGCTTATTGACTTGGGTTTTGGGGCAGCTTGAACTCAGGTCTGTGTAGCGAGCCCTTTCAGCTCTGAGCCACCTTCCTGGGGAAGTAAATCAGCCTTTTTCCCTTCTCTGTTCTTGTCCCACCCCAGATGCCGCCCTGCAGGTGGACACAGTGGTCCCCAATGCTACCGTTTCTGAGAAGGCAGCTTTCCAGCTGGACTGCAGCATCCTGTCTCGATCAAGCCAGGATTCCCGCTTTGCCGTGGCCTGGTATTCTCTAAGGACTAAAGGTGGAGGAAGAAGGGGCAGCCTTGGTATTGAGGACCAAGAGGAGGAGGCGGTATCAGAAGAAGAGGATGGTGAAGACCCGACAGAGAGGATGGTCCTGCTAAGCGTGGGACCTGATGCTGTCTTTGGTCCTGAAGGCAGCCCCTGGGAAGGCAGGCTGCGCTTCCAAAGACTCTCGCCCCTGCTGTACCGGCTCACGGTGCTTGAGGCGAGCCCCCACGACACAGGCAACTACTCCTGCCGTGTGGAAGAGTGGCTGCCCAGCCCTCAGAAGGAATGGTACCGGCTAACCGAGGAGGAGTCGGCTCCCATTGGCATCCGGGTTTTGGACACAAGTGAGTTTCCCCAGTTACACAAGAAGGTGTCCCTGTTGTCCTTGCAGGGTTTGGAAAGTGAAAAAGCTTGGTTGTGGATTAATAAGCACTTTTCCTCACTGCTATGGGCACTTACTAGTAGGGTTTGAGATGTGGAAGAATTTGACACACTAGCCCACATTGCTGACTGACCCTTAGTTACCCATGCAAAAAAAAAAACAGGGCTAGGAATTAAAATGATGACATACCGTGTGGCTTGTGTGATCAATCTGACCTCTACCTGAGCCAGTACAATCTCACTGCACGCATGTCTTGCTTGGTGTTTCTGTTACACATTAGAATGCCAAGTCAGCCTGCAGTGACTTAGCGAGTGTTTCCAGACTGCAGGAGGGAGGGAGGGAAGAGGGGAAGCCGTCAATCATGCCTTCCCTCATGTCCCTGGGTCACTTTTATTCTGGAATCTGACTTAGGGGTGGGTGTCACAGATTTTGCCTGGTCACTGAGACCAGCCTAGAAGGACAGAGCCGGGGAGTTTGGAGAGACACAACAGCAGCCTATCACCTCAAATGGGTCCTGAACATGGTCTCCTTCCTGTGAGGGCCTTTCACTCCAAACAGAGACTAGAGGAAATGCTTGTTTGATTGCCTGTTTGTCAAAATGTAGAGTGGATCAGGCCGACCATGGTGTTTGCTCCAGTGGAATCGGCTTAGAGTTCAGAAACCGAAGAAATCTCAAGTTTTCAACCTCGTTTCAAATCAGTTTGCTCATCCTGTCTTCTGTCATCTTGATTTGAGGTTCAGGCTGCTCGGAAATCTCTGCCCGTATCACTTCCTGTTGACCTCATGTTATGTGAAACTGAAGCTTTTATGGGTTGAGAGTGGTTGGCCACCAATAACTTGATAGAAATTTGCAAACTATTAAGTGTAAGCGCGTGCTGCCTTAGTTCTGATGGTGTGCAACTGTCTGACAGAAGGGAAATGGAGAGAGCCTGAACCGATGTGCACCAGTGTCAGAAATGAGAGTGTCGAGGCCACGCTTGACCTGCTCTGTGGATCCCTGTAATAAGCTTCGTGAACACAGGGCTCACTGGGAGACCAGCTGCCTGCCAAGGGCTAATAGTTACCGTGCAGCCTGACCTGGTATCAGGGCTTTCGCTTCATTCTCTACCATGTCTGCTGTAAGCCCACCTTGTGCAGGCAGACACTGGACACTGTCCATGGCCCACACTGACATGCCAGTAGAGAGTGTTAAGCAAGTGTCTTTCCGGTACAGTTGCTCCTTGAAGCAAGCAGGCAGGCAGGCAGGCAGGCAGGGATTGTGCTAGATTCCCCGAGAGAGGCGTCTACAGCAGAACTGAGCACAGAAGGACCTGGTAGATACCTGCTTACCACAAAGGGGAGGTGAGGATGAATGGGGGTCAGCTTCTCTGACACCCCAGACATCGAGTTTCACGGTCCATAAGATCAACTTTAGTGTAAGACTTTCCCAGTAGAAATGGAAACACTGTATCATTTGAACTGAAGGGGAACAAATGGCTGGGGTGTTGTGAGAGACTTAACAGGGAAAAGTCTCCCGGCCACTGGAGGCAGGGGGAGGGCTAGGAGAGCGTGTGGAAGCGCTCCATAGGGCAGGTGACCTCTCCTCTCAGGAGCGGGAAGCAGTTCCATCCAGCCCTAGCTCCCCACTGACAGTTCTTGCTGCCTTCCAGGTTCCACCCTGCAGTCGCTCATCTGCTCCAACGACGCACTCTTCTACTTTGTTTTCTTCTACCCCTTCCCCATCTTCGGCATCCTCATTATCACCATTCTGCTGGTGCGCTTCAAAAGCCGGAACTCCAGCAAGAACTCAGAGGGCAAGAACGGGGTGCCCCTGCTGTGGATCAAGGAGCCGCACCTCAACTACTCCCCGACTTGCTTGGAGCCCCCTGTGCTCAGCATCCATCCTGGAGCCATAGACTAAGGGAGGTGACCCCCAGCAGACGTTGCCCGTGGCAGGGTCGGGTCAGAGGAGCCCTGTGGGCTTTTCCTCATTGCTTCATGCTCTGTGATTGGACAGGCGACGGCACCCGAACTCTGCGGTTTCCCTGCAGGAACCAGTCAGACCTGGAATGTGTTGGAAGATCCTGGTCACAGAGATGACTGCCTCCAGGTGGCAGTTCTGGTAGCTCTTTGCACCCAACATCCTGGGTTTCTAGTTTTTGGTTTTGGTACCGTCGTGCGTAGCTCCAGGTGCCGCATCTACTCGCCAGTCTGTCTCGTGTTTTCAGATTGGTGCTACGGGGTTTCCTGTTCTGTGTAATGTACTCTTTTAAGCCCCTTTGGTCCTCTCCGTGTGGATCTCACAGTGTTGTGGAAGGGTTTCTTTCACAACTGAAAAGCAAGAGGAAGACGACTTTATAGTAACAAGAAATCTCTTCCAAGACATTTTTGTTTTTGCACATTTGAAAATGCCACCCGTGGATCAAAATACACCCAAACATTTTTTTTTTTTTTACTTTCTTAGCAAGACTTGAAAAATATGTGTAGCGTGGGCCCAATTTGTATCTTATCTTTTCCCTCAGCTGGAGTTGTTGGAACCACTTTATAGTCAAGATGAAAGCATTGAATTTTGCTTCAAAGAACTGCGCATGTGCAGAAGAAACCCTGTGGAACCCCGTTAGGATTAGATGGTGTCCAGCGAGCCAATCTGCCAGCGGGGGCGAAAGGGGATCTGGTCCTTGCCAAAAAAAAAAAAAAAAAAAAAAAAAAGGCAAACCAGCCTGAAGGATGGGTCCAGCGTTCCAGATGGTGGCGCCTGGTTTCCGAGGGTTGCCCTGAGCATACATACCTACTATTGTAGTGACCAAAGCCAGTGATTCGGGAGGGAGGAAAGAAGGCTTGTCGTTGGCAAGCTCAGTCTCCTGACTGAGCAGGTAGCTTTCATCTGCAGGTGCTTTGCCAAATCTTCAAGGGGACAGGTCCAGTGAACCCGGAAGGGACTGCCTGAGTGGAGCGCTGTGGTCAGAGTGGCGGCTGTGTGTGGCCCCATGGAGGGTGCTGAGCTGTATCACACTGAGCTTGGGAGAATGGAGGGGTACGGGGGTGTCCCTAGAGCCTGCTGGAGAGGCTGGAGGAATTCTCACCTCTCTCTGTCTTCCTTCCAGACGATGAGGTCTTCCTTATCTGTCACTGCTCTCCCCGAATCTCACTGCTGTGGGGATTTTGTCCATTTGTCCTAGGAGAGGACCAGGAGCAATTTCTTGTGATCTTTGCTGTCTCCTAGTCTCAACAGACAAGGGAACACAGTGTTGAGTCAGGGGTTGTCCCTTTGCTTTGTTGGAATGTGTGTGTGGTTTTAGGGTATGTGTGTGTGTGTGTGTGTGTGTGGTTTAGGTTGAACGGGTGTGTGTATGTGTGTATGCGCGTGCACGCGTGCTCAGGTTCTCTGGTTGTGCTGGTAGCTTTTAATTTTCAGCCCACAAATCCGAAATCCACTGCCCTGCCCCTCCCCCCCCAGGCCAGATGCTTAGCTGCTCTACAGCCTCAGCATCAATCTCGAGTCCTGCCTTTTGCTCACTCTGAAGACCTTGTGAATCCCCCACTCCCGCTCTCCCCCATCTTCACCAGCCATACCTTCCCATGGGAATTTGCATCCTGAGTCCCAAGATAGAGAGCCCGGTGGAAAAAGCTGCCCAAGACTGTGGAAGTAAATCTAACGAGAATGAGCAAACATGGAAGCTCCAGGAGTTCCAGGCCTCTGGGCCCTGTGGTTACAGGTCCTTCAAGGGATCTACTGGGTGTGGGCTACTTGTAGGGTGGCAGAGGAGAAGAGGGGAAGCAAGACAAACCTTCCTCTCCTGTCCTGGCCCTCTAGTTCTCTGAGAGCTGTCCAGGCACCTTAATTCCTCCGGTGCCTACCCTGCTGGTTCTCATTTATGCTGCATCAACAAACGGGGACCAAACTGGCTCAGTCAGGAAGAAAGAATGTCTTTTGTTCTGTTCCTTCATTTCATGGGTGTGGGCTCTTGGTGGGTAGTTGCTGACTCCTGGCTTTTAGGCTGAGTCAACGAGGGAAGATTGACTCCGCCACTGGATGGGGAGATGCCAGAGGGCTGGCCTGGATTAAAGTTTCTGATAGGCTCTTTCGCCACGGAAAACTGATGCTTCACGTAAATATGCAAAACGGTTGCAGGACGTTCGAGGGAACAAAGAAACCAATGTCAGTATTTTAACAACTGCTTTTTGTGTGTGTATGTTCTGGGAGCTGGGGATGCAATCAAAATTGAACTCTGAGCTTTCTATGAAAAACAAACAAGCAAAAACCACAGGGCTTCTCTGTGGCTGATTCCATGGACATGTGTTGTCAGCTGAATGGTGATGGTGCCCTCCAGTGGCTGGATGACCTCGCTGCACATTGTGTGCTGGGCTTTGGTCTTCTGAGTTGAGAGAGAAAAGGACTCCATAGGGACTCCTGACACCTGTCCTGTCCACTGTGCTAGGCCTGTCCCAGGACACTCTATGACCACACCCTCTCTCACCAGGGTGTTTCTGTAGCAAGTTTTCATATTCGTTTCAAACAATGGTTTCTCTGCGTTCATTGTTGGAGAGGGATGGGTTGAAAAGACTATCCGTGCATGAAGTAGAGAGCTGTTGGTTTGTTTCAGTTTTTTTTTTTTTAAAGGAAAAACTATTTGTAAGCCGCTGCACTAAGACATTTTATATGCACTGCAGAGACTGTAGTAAATTATGTTGACAATACGCTGTTTACATTTTCTGGAGTCCGATGCCCTCCTGCCCCTCGCTGAACCAGCCACCTCCAGCTGTGGGACTGTGCTCGGTGGGTGGCCTGGAGTTCCACCCTTGGCACTGATGTACCAGATTCGAATTTTACAAGCTGTAGCTTTTCTATGCATGCCCTCGCCCAGCCTAAATTATGTTTTTGTACAAATGATAAAAAAAAAAATCTTTCTCAAGATCCTTTTGCCACATGCTGAAGTGTATTACAAATCTACCCCGTTACGACTGCTGCCCCAGGAGCTGTGACACGGAGGAGCCAGAAGCTGACATTGGGAGGGGTTATGTGACTCGTTTTCCTTTGGTGGGAAATTTAGGGTAAGAGGACACTGATGCAGAGAACCTGCCGGCTCACTAGGGCCTCTGCAGCAGACCCCACCGTCCTGTCTCAAGCCTTGTTAGTGTTCGTGAATGGAAGTAGGCATTTTTCCGGCTAGACATAAGGCCGGAAGCTGGACAGTCTCAGGCAGTGAGACTGAGCACCAGTCACTGTGAGTGGCCGACAGGCAGCTTGAAGCCCTGGGATAGTGTAGGCCTAGCAGTGGTCACACCTTGTTGGGTCTTTACAGGTCACCGGAAATGCAAAGGAGGAGGACACAGAAGGCTGAGAGCGGAGGAGGTGCTCCTTTTCCCACCCCCTCCCCTCCCTTCCATCTCCCATTTTCAGTCCGCCTTACCAAGGCTCGGCCACGCGCTTTCCTCTGCTCCCAGCCCCGTTTGCTGTGTTCTTATCACCTTCGTGCAGCTGCTAGCTTGGCCCCAGTTAAAACTGCTACTGCTGATCCCTCGGTGCCCACAGTGATTCCATGTTAAGTCTTCTGTATTAGTTTTGCTTATGAGGTGAAAACGTGTACCCACAAATGGTCCCCAGCTAAGTCATACACATTATTTTTGCTTGACTCCCCCCTCCCCATGCCCTCTTTCCACCAGGAACTAAATTTTAAAAGGGGGGTAGAGTATAATGGAGTAAGACCGCCCCATTAAACCCTGGGGTTAAATGAACGTGTACCTCCCGTGAGGCGTATGATGAAAATGACCATCTGTGTGTTTGGGCTCGGGGACTGTGTCTTGTCACTGTGTCCCAGATTCCTACACTGTAATTCCCAGCGTTTGGTGAAACCAAAGCCCAGAGCAACAGAGAACAGCCTGCCACAAAATGTGGTCCAAGCCCCTTGGGCCATCTTTGCTTACCTTCTCATCCATAATTACCCATGGTAATGAAGGGAACACTGGACCACACCATGCCAGTCACAGGATGAAGACACATCAAACAATCCTTTAAGAAAGAGAAGTAGAAACAGTTCAGCATGGGAGGGAGTTTGTTGGCTCTCTGCCAAATGCATTATGGGGCATCATAAGCCACTTTTGATTCCTGAAGTCTGCTATGCAGGGCCCATTGGCACATCTAGAGATTCTCTATGGGAACACAGCCTTTCTCTTAATGAAAGGCCTGGAACTGGTCACTGGACTCTGTCTGACAAGTCTGTCAAACTCACCCAGTACGGTGAGACCACGACCTGAGGCGCTTGCCCAGCGCCAGGCGATAGGGCTGACCATTCTGCAGCTCGCCTCTGCCTGTGCTGACAGCCCTTGCAGTTCAGTTCCAAGCCCCATTCCTCTCAGTCCCTTCCTGTGTGGGCAGGGCAAAGGGGAGGCTTTGGACTTGGCCCCTTGCTGTGTCTTGGGCAAGCCATTTACCTTCTCCAAGTCAGTTTCCTTGCAAGAAAGATAGAAGCAGCAACCCTGTGAAAAGCAGCCAGGTGATACCCTTACCCCTGCTCACATATGACGCTTGCTGCTCCTTCCCAGCTCCAAGACAGGCTTCTGAAAGCTGTGGTACACCTCTTCTGCCTTTCCCAGGAGGGGGACATTCTGACTGTCAAAGGGCAGGGAGAATTTATTTTCTCACTTTCTGGGCCACGCCTTGCACCTGTCTAGTTCCCAGGATCTACAGGTGATAAAATGAAGGTTTCCATGGGGTGGAACTTCAGTACCAGGAATTTAGTGATAGCCATTTGAGACATCTATGAGTTCCTGTTCATATGTCTGTGTGCCTGGGTCACTACCTGAGGACAAAGGAGAGGCTAGCAAGAAGCTCACTTCAAGTTTACAACTGGCAACATGCCTTGGTTGAACAGCCGAGAGTCCTGTTCCCAAGACAAGCATGCCTTCACTCCTTCAGCTGCTCGGGGCCAAGCTTGATGCTTCTCTTTGCATGAAAGGGGACAGCAAAGAAGGATCTGGAGGGGCAGGTCTGAAACTAGTCATTTGGCCTGTGATCTGGTGGGTTGGAAGAGTCTAAACCTGTGAAAGCTAAATCAATAGGCTCAGGCTGGGGTGCTTGGGGGCCAGGAGAGTCACTCCCAAGGGACAGAATGGATCTGACAGCCCGAGCTCAGTTGGCAGTGCCTTCCTGCCCTAGATTCCCTGGGGGCATTGAGAAATCAGTAGCCCAACACTTGGGAGACAGACACAGCAGGATCAGGAATTTAAGGATAGCTTTCACAAGTTCTAGGCTAGCCTGGGCTACGAAACTCCCTGTCTGTAAAGAACAAGGAGCTATGAGAATAGCCCTGAGGTTAAGAGTACTTAATCTCTCTGTTCTTACAGAGAGACAGATTCAGTTCCTTACACCAACGGCCAGGTGGGTCACAAGGGCTTATGATTCCATTCCAGGGGATCTGGTGCCCTCTTCTGGTCTCCTAGGACTACTGCATACATATGGTGCTCATGTCCTCACACACACACACACACACATACATAGATATGAAAGTAAATAACAATAATAATAAAAGTCCACACCCAACAACAGGGCAATGGAAGAGAGAAACTAAGGCTACTGGTAGTCCTTGGGGGATTAAGGAAAGGACATGCTTGTGTGAGACACTCCGGAGAACCCCACTTCCTAGCAGTTATCTCAAAGGGCCCCTTTTAATATTTGAGGAAAAAGTATGAAGGAGATTATCTTGTGTGGGCTGAGTCGTGGGGAAGAGGAAACACACCTCTTGATGGGATGAAACATTCTGGCCTGTCATGGTGTCACTTCAGGGCCAACCCCGTAGGGCACAGCCTTCTGGGAGTGGCAGCCCCAGCCTGACCCTCCTCATTGCCTTCATCGGGTTGGCATAGCTGTGGGAGGCGGTCGCACAGAGCAGCAGGAGAAGTGATGGGCGATGTGCATATGCTTCGTCTGCTGTTTAAAACTAAACCTTACATCATGACATCCCAAGAGGGGCTGTGGGGGAGGGGGGGTTCACTGGACCCCTGTGTTTGTTCCGCTTCCGAGTATGGCCACATTGAATCATTCTCCCTCCCTCTGCTTTCCATCAAACTTCCTTCTTCCTTTCCATCCTCCTTTCTGCCGCCTTCAAAAGCATATTGGAATGAATGTCTGAACTCCTGTTTTTTGCTTTTCTTTCTTTCTTTTTTTTTTAAACTTCTAGAACCCAGGCTTGTACCCTAAAAGCTCCTGAAATGGTGTCCCTTTGAATCCATGAATCCCTTCTGAGGTCACTTCAGCCAGCAGACCTGTGTGTAGGATCTGCTTTACAGAGTTGTAATGTGTTTTTGCAACTGAGTGTTGTAGCCCCATTAGAGTTGAGCCCTCTGGGAGACTTGCCTGCATCCTGATGATGACGTAAGTCACAAAACAATCCCACACCAGTTCAGAATTATGAATAATAAAAGGGTTATTTAAGGGGGAAACTTAAAGATCACTGTCCTAGATAACAGTCCTCTACGCAAACAAGAAGAGTCTAGCAGCTGGAAGCGGGAGCTAGAAGCAAGCAAGAGAGCCAGCACAGACTTTACAGCTGCTTTTACAGTACAAGAGACCATGCCCAAGTGGGCTGGTATCTTAAAGGCTATTGGCTGAAGGATTGGAATGTGCACATCCCCAGAAACCTGAGAAACATAGGAAGCAGTCCTAAAACTGTAGTTAGACCAAACATATAACACGTGAAAAGAGAGGGAGAAGGAGGGAGGGAAGGAAAAAAATAGAAATACCAACACCAGTAAAAACGCTAATCTAATGTAGAGCAGAGAAGTCTTAAGGGACCCCACCTCAGACGAAGAACTGCTGGCGACTAACTGCTGAGGGGGACAATCGGTCTTCCTCGCAGACAAGTCCCCTGGTTGACTATACAATACCATGTGGTCAGCCCTGAAATCAGGCACATACAAGCAACAGTAAATAGGTAGTCAGAGGTTGGATTTATATATTTATGTGTATGTGTGTGTGTGTGTGTGTGTGTGTGACATACATAAATAATAAAAAGAGGCCACAGATTTGAAAGAACCTGAAGAAAGAGGCATGGGAAGGGCCAGAGAGAGGAAAATAAAAGGGGTGATGATGTGAATATTTTAATTTTTTACAAATCAAAGAGGTGGCTCAGTGTTTAAGAACACTGGCTGCTCTTCCAGAGGACCCAGGCTCAATTCCCAGCACCCACATGGCAACTCACAACTGTCTGTACCTCCAGGTTCAGAATATCTGACACCCTCATATGCAGGGTAGACACCAATGCACGCTTTTTTAAAAAAAAAAAATTTAAAAAATAAAAGACAGTATGGGTCCAGATGTTACCTTATACAACATACAAATCTGTTGCCCAGGTGTTTTATGTTTTTACCTTTAAAATATGCTAAAGCTAATTCTTTGAAAAGTCTTATAAATATAAGCAAAAACAAAAAATCCGAAACAAAAACAGTTAACCTGCCCTTGACAAAATATGTTAGCAGCTTTATTATTTATTATCCATCAGTTTGTGCAGACCTGCATCTTCTGCTGTGCAGGGCTGTGGCTGTGGCTGAGTTTGCCCTTGTCTCCCCATCTCGAAAGTGAGCTCCTTGTACTCAGGCACCGATTCCTCTTTCAGACGCTTCCTTCATTGGTTCACTTTAGTTTCTTGCGTCCCCACCGCAGTGTTCAGTGGGAGCCTCGGAGGATCCAGCTTGTCAGCTGT